TGGCTTATTTCATTTAGCATAATATTCTCCAGTTCCATCCATGCTATCACAAATGATAGGAGTTCCTTCATTCTTCTTGTTGCATAGTATTCCATTGCATAAATGTACCACAGTTTTTTGATCCATTTACTGATGGACATTTAGGCTGTTTCTAGCACTTGGCTATTGTAAATAGCGCTGCTATGAACATAGAGGTGGGACTTCTGGCCAAGATGGAGGTGTAAATAGATATACTTTGCCTCCTCCCACAAGCAAAAGTAAGACAACAACAAATTTAAAAACAAAAAACAACCAGAACTGACAGAAAATCAAACTGTATGGAAGTCCGACAACCAAGGAGTTAAAGAAGAAACATTCATTCAGAGTGGTAGGAGGGGTGGAGACGGGCAGCCAGAGAGGAGAGGATGTATGGCAAGGTGGCACCTAGTGGATTGGCGGGGGGTCCCACATTCGCATGCAGATAAACTGGGAGGAACAACTGGGTAAAGGGATAGCCTACACAACCCAGGGTTCCAGTGAGAGAGGAAAAGCCTCAATAACTCTGGCTGTAAAAACCTGTGGGAATTGTGGATGTGGGAGAAACTCCCAGCCTTACAGGAGAGTTCGTCGGAGAGATCTACCAGGTCCTAGAACATACACAAACCCTCCCACCTGGAAATCAGGACCAGAAGGGCCCAATTTGCTTGTGGGTAGTTGGGGAAGTGACTGAAAGCTGGCCAAGAGCTGAGTAAGTGTCATTGTTCCTTTTCAGATCCCTCCCCCACACACAGCTCCACCACATAGGGATGTGGGTTGCCCTACCCTGGCAAACACCTAAGGATCTGCCCCTTTAGAGTATAACAGGCATACCAAGACAAAAAAAAATGGCCCAAATGAAAGCATAGATCAAAGCTCCAAAAATACAACTAGGTGATGAAGAGAGAGCCAACCTATGAGATGCAGAGTTCAAACCACTAGTAATGAGGATGCTCATCACAGAAATGGGTGAGTATGGTCGCAAAAGAGAGGAAGAAGTGAAGGCTATGCAAAATGAAATAAAACAAAATGTTGAGGGAACCAACAGTGAAGGGAAGGAAACTGGGACTCAAATCAATGTGGGCCAAAAGGAAGAAATAAACATTCAACCAGAACAGAATGAAAAAACAAGAATTTAAAAGAATGAGGAGAGGAGTAGGAACTGCTGGGACAACTTTAAACATTCCAACATCTGAATCATAGGGGTGCCAGAAGGAGAAGAACAAGAGCAAGAAATTGAAAACTTATTTGAACAAATAATAAAGGAGAACCTTCCAATCTGGCAAAGGAAATAGACTCCCAGAAAGTCCAGGAAGCTCAGGGAGTCCCAAAAAAGTTGGACCCAAGGAAGCACACACCAAGGCACATCATAATTACATTACCCAAGATTAAAGCTAAGGAGAGAATCTTAAAAGCCGCAAGAGCAAAGGAAAGAGTTACCTACAAAGGAGTTCCCATATGACTATCAGCTGGTTTCTCAAAAGAAACTTTGCAGGCAAGAAGGGGCTGGAAAAAAGTATTCAAAGTCATGCAAGGCAAGGACCTACATCCAAGATTACTCTATCTACCAAAGCTATCATTTAGAATGGAAGAGCAGATAAAATGCTTCCCAGATAACATCAAGTTAAAGGAGTTCATCATCACCAAGCCCTTATTATATGAAATCTTAAAGGGACTTATCTAAGAAAAAGAAGAGGATCAAAAATATGAACTGTAAAATTACAACAAACTCACAACTATCAACAACTAAACCCAAGAGGAAACTAAAAGAAAAACAAACTAAGCAAACAACTACAACAGGAGCAGAATCACAGAAATGGAGGTCACATGGAAGGTTATCAGCCATGAGGGAGACGGGGAGAATGGGGGAACAGGTACAGGGAATAAGAAGCATAAATGGTAGATACAAAATAGACATGGGGAGGTTAAGAATAGTATGGGAAACAGAGAAGCCAAAGAACCTATATGTATGACCCATGGGCGTGAACTAAGGGTGGGGGGCTGATGCTTGTGGGAGGAAGGCAGAGTAGTGGGGGATAAAGGGAAGAAAAAATTTTGGACAACTGCAATAATATAATCAATAAAATATTCTTAAAAATAAGTTTAAAAAGAATATTGTATATTTAAATGACAAGGAGATACCACTACATGTCAATAGAATGGCTAAAACCCCAAAATATGACAACACCAAAGATAGATGAGGATGTGAAGCAAGAGAATCTCTGTCATTCCTGCTAGAAACGCAAAATGGTATAGCCACTTTACAAGGCAGTTTGCAATTTCTTAAAAAAAAACTAATACTAGCCCTGGCTGGCGTAGCTCAGTGGATTGAGCGCGGGCTGGGAACCAAAGTGTCCCAGGTTCGATTCCCAGCCAGGGTACATTTCTGGGTTGCAGGCCATAACCCCTAGCAACTGCTCATTGATGTTTCTCTCTCTCTCTCTCTCTCTCTCTCTCTCTCTCTCTCTCTCTCTCTCTATCTCCCTCCCTTCCCTCCCTAAAAATAAATAAATAAAATCTTAAAAAAAAACAAACTAATACTGTTAATGTACTACCCAACAATTGTGTCCTTGGTGTTTACCTAGAGGAATTGAAAATATATCCATACAAAAACCTGAACATAGTTGTTTATAGCATCTTTATTCACACTTGCCAAAACTTGGAAGTAATCAAGATGGCCTTTAGTGAATGGATAAACTGTGGTACATAGAGAAATGAAATATTCTGATCTGAAAAGAAATGAGCTATCAAGCCATAAAAAGACATGAAGGAATCCTAAATGCATATTGTTAAATAAAAGAAGCCAATTTGAAAAGGCTGTATGTGTTTGATTCCAACTATATGACATTCTGTAAAAGGAAAAGCTATGAAGACAGTCAAAGGATTAGTGGGGTCCAAGAGTTAGAGGTGAGGGAGGCAAGAATAGGGAATAGGCAGAGCACAGAGAATTTTTAGAGCAAATTATTTTTAGTATCAAATTATTCTGTATAACAGAAAAGTGGTGCTTGCATGCCATTACATATTTGTCAAAAACTGTAGAGTACAAAACACCAAGAGTGAACCTTAATGTAAACTATGGAGTTTGGGCAATAATGATGTGTCAAGGTAGATTCATAGATTGTAACAAATGTCCCACTTTGGTGCAGGATGTTTTTAGTGGTCAAAGCTGTGTATGTATTGGGGACAGGGCATATATGAGAAATATCTGAGCTTAATTCTGCTGCAACCCTAAACCTGCTCTAACAAATTAAGTGTATATATATCTTTTTTAAATGAAGAATCTTTATGGAGATGGAACTGTTGTATTAACTTGACTGCATCAATGGTAATATCATGGTTGTGATATTGTACTAGTTCTACCATTGTGGGAAATGAGGTAAAGGTTACAAGTGATCTATTATTTCTTATAACTACAAGTGGATTCTACAATTATCTCAAATAAAGATAAATTTTTAAAAAGTAAATGCAATTAGACAATTGTTAAAATTAAATATTAAAAACTCATCAATAAATGTTGAATAAATAAATGTAAGAGTGGTAAGAACACCACTTTTCACTAGAAAAGTAGATGTAGGCTCACAGTACTCTCTATAATAGCACATAGAGTGGGATGTTGAACATGTAACAAGTGTGACAATAAAAGTAAACTGAAGCCCTGGCTGGCATAGCTCAGTGGATTGAGCACAGGCTGCAAACCAAAGTGTCGCAGGTTGGATTCCCAGTCAGGGTACATGCCTGGGTTGCAGGCCATGACCCCCAGCAACCCCACATTGATGTTTCTCTCTCTCTCTCTCTTTCTCCCTCCCTTCCCTCTCTAAAAATAAATTAAATTAAATTAAAAATCTAAAAAAAACCCTATCTCCAAATATAATAAAAAAAAAGTAAACTGAAAATTATCTGAAGGAAAATGAAAAAAAGATTTGTAAGGAAGAGAAAGTTTCACTAAGTCGAATCTTCTTGCTGCTGAAAGCAGGCATTCAGCTATGCATTTTCATAAACTTGTTCAAATAACAATTGAAAACATTGTAGAAAGAAGACAGTAGCATTAATGGATCTGATCATTTATATAACTTTGTTTGGTAAGACACAGTTAAAACCAATAAATTAAAAATGATATTCTGTTGGGTGGCCATGTGTGTGCACACATTGGCATAAATACTCATGTATTTACTCATGCACAGCATGGAGGCACAATATTTAGCATATCACCTCAGAAAAGATATTTTTCCTTAACCTTAATAATCACATGATTTAAACATCACACTACTCAATACTGATGGTTTGTGCTACTTAAACACCAGGACTGCAATGAGTGGTCAGCCATGTGCTTCTTCAATTCCATAGGACCAAGACTAAACTGCCTGAGCACAAATTCAATCTCTTTTTTAACCAAATGAAAGTTGTAAATGCATTTATCAATAGTAACTAGGGGGGGAATGAATAATTCATACAAATGATTATATATGTATGCATACAAATGATTATATATAATCATTTAGTTCATTATTTGAACTAAATGACCCTTAAATGAGTAGATAACATACTATTCATTTTATAAGATGCTGGACAATTTTTCTTTGATTAGGTTATCCCAACATTCATCATCCCATTTAGCTAGTGTGTATTTACTGGCATAAGCACAAGAAATCATTAACTTTCATTACCTTCTGAAAAATATAAAAAATTTTGAATTAAATAATGGGGGTATGACAGTTGGTTTTACCAACTCCTTACTTATACAATTCTGAAACTGAAAACACAACATTTCATATTGAATCACATCTATGGCATTGAGAAATAAGATATGCAAAAGGAGAAAGAAGAAAAAATAGTAAAAGAAGCAAGGGAAGCAAGAAGTCCTGATACATAAATATAACACACACACACACACACACACACACACACACACACAAAAGTGAAAAAACAAAATCACAAGAAATAATACCAAAAAGTAGTAGTTGAAGAGACTCCTATTAATAAATTACCAGTGTTCCAGCTTCTAGTTGCCGTAGAGACCAATATATAAATTTTAAAAATGGCTCATGAAGTTTGGAATTCACAAATGGCATCCACTGTAGCTGCTCTGTCATCACTGGCAAAAGCTAAAATGGTGAAAAACATAAATGCATAGTATTTTTAGATATCTGAAACAAATTAACACAATTTTCCAAAAATCATTTTTCTAAAAGAAAAAGAGTTCTCTAACAAAAAAATCATCACTTTAAAACTATATGCAATACAATATGGAAATACATATTTAAAATTTTAAACATAGTCATGTGCCACATGAGTTTTCAATCAACAGACTCCATTTACAATGAAGATCCCATGAAATTACTGACAGAGCTGAAAAATCCCTATCACCCAGTAATGTCATAGCCATCATAAGGTTGTAGTACAAAGACTCCAAAATCAACAAGATTTTGGTTAATGTGACAAATTTTAAGCTATATGTAGATGAGGATGACATCGAGGAACTCCTAGAGCAGGTTCCTAAGGAATTGATTGTTGAGGAGTTGCTGGAACTGGAATAGGAAAATACAGCTGAAGGAGAGGCAAAAGAAAAGGAAACTGCAAAAGAAAAAAAGAACCCTCAAGAGAATTCAGTGAAGGGTTTAGCAGACGCTTTTCCGGGCCTCAAAGAATTCCTTAAAAAGTATGAAAATATGGACCCCAACACCAACAGATATTCATGTAAGAGGGGAATGTCTAGGCCTACCCAAGCCTATGTAGGCCTAGGCTACTTTGTGTTTATTAGTTTTAAACAGAGTAATTTAAAATGTAAAAATTAATAATAATAGAATAAAAAAATTAAAAAATAGAAAAAACTTGTAGAATAAGGATATAAACAAAAAATATTTTGTGCAGCTGTACAATGTTTGTGTTTAAGCTAAAATTAATACAAGAGTCAAAAAGTTTAAAAATTTTTTAGTTTATGAAAAGTAAAAATGTTATAGTAAGCAAAGCTTAATTTATTAAACTTTATTATTGAAGAAATACTTTATAAATTTAGTGCAGCCTAAGATTACAGTGTTTACAAAGTCTATCAGAGTGTATAGTATGTCCTAGGCCTTCACATCCACTCACCACTCACTCAGTGACTCACCCAGAGCAACTTCCAGACCTGAAATCTCCATTCTTGGTCAGTGCCCTGTACAGGTATATCATTTTTAAATATTTTATACCACATTATTACTGTACCTATTTTTGTTTAGATATGTTAGATACACAAATACTTACTATTGTGTTACACTTGCCTGAAGTATTCAATACAGTAATATGTCATAGCCTAGAAGTAGCAGGTTATACCATATAGCCTAGGTATATAGTAGACTATACTATCTAGGTTTATGTAAATACATCTTGTAATGTTCACACAACGAAATCACCAATGTATTTCTGAGAAAGTATATTGTATTAAGCAACATGTGACTGTATGTATTTCCTTTGACCCAGTATTATCACATCTAGGATTTTAAGATTAAACTATAGAAACATACTCTCTGAATTTCAAATGTTTAAATAAATTTATACTACATATATAAACATTAAAATTTATAATGGCATCTATAATATTGTGATAGCTTATTTTGGGGTGATAAAAGCAGGTTACAAAAGCATAAGTACTTATTTACATAAAATAAACCTATTATGAATTTATATTAAAAAGAAATATGAAAGTATTTTTTAATATTAACAGAGATTATAGTAACTGAGGTGATATTTACTTTCCTCTTTATGTATCAGTCTTGCATAAATACTTTACTTAATGTCAATTGGTGAAAATAATAGAAAATTTTTAGGCCCAGAAGATGGCAGTGAGGTAGGTCGGAGCTGAACCCACTTGCTTGTGTACCCAACTGGGACACCTAGCCATTCTTCTGAAGAGCAGAGTGAACAGCCAACAGAATTCCAGCTTATATGAAGTAAGAAGCCAAAATCATAGAGGACATTGAAATACAGATGGTAAGGAAATTACAATAGGATGATAAGGTCCCTGGGACCTGTGCAGGGACCAAGGCTGCTACGGTGCCAGGCCTGGTGCCTGGTGCCAGGGTTGATGGCTGCTGCAGGAGCTTTGGAGGAGAGCCAGATCAGCAATTATAACTCCACAGTTCCCTCCCCTACCAGAGCAGGGAAGGCAGCCCCACACCAGAGAAACCTGTATGCTTGAAGCCACTGGAGGGAATAAAGATGAAGTGGTAGACACACAGAGGTGGTGTTGCCCCTCTGGGACTGTGATTGCCAGGTAGGACATTACCAGAGAAATTGGGGAGCCAGGTGACACCTAGAAAAGGGAGAAGAGTCAGGCTGTGATGGACCCTGACCCAGATTGTCTCTGGACTGGTCAGAGAGTTGAGCTGTGTGAAAAGCCAGGTGCTTGTTTAGAATGGCAGGCACAAAAAAGAGGAATGTACTCAAAAAACAGGCTCACAGCAGCTGTTTAAAGGAACTCTTGCAGCAGCTGGGCCAGTTAAGAGGGAGGAGGAAGGGCACGATTAGCTCCAAATCAGGGCACCTCATGGACTGATCAAAGTAGGGCAGTATGGGCACAGGGGGTAGCAGTCCTCAGAGAGACTTAATATACTAGGGGAACTATATTGCCTTGAAGGGACTTTGAGAGTGCACAGCACCCAGGACAGCAAAGAGGGAGGAGGTGGAGTGCAAGATGCTCCTAATCAGGGCACCTGCCTGTTCAAGAGCAGCATAATGTGGTGGATTAAAGGCACCAGCCTGGTGCAGGTGGACAGTGGGCACCTGGCTGTGCTCTGAAGACCTAGGCTGGAAGACAGTCACCTGTGAATTGCAGCCCAGACCTAGCCCTCATCCTCCAAAAAACAATGGGAAAAGAAAAAAGTGAAGCCCAGTCCCCCTCTGCCTGCAGCATACTCAGCAGGCTTGAAGTCAGCAGGTGGCTTTTTTTATCTTTTTGTCCCAAGTGTGAGACAATAATACCTGGAGCTGTGAAAGTACCAAAGAGATCCAGAGAGGAATCACAAGGCTAGCTCCAACAACTGAGAAACTGAGACAAATTTCACTTTTCTATCCTATAGACCTTGTATTTTATTATTTATTTTTATTATTTTCTTCTCATTATTTTTCTTTTCATTTTTTATTTCTATTTTTTGTTTAGTTTCTTTTTTGTTTGCTTATTTTTAATATTTTTATTAATTATGCTATTAGTTTTCCCAAATTTTCCTCCTCTATCCCTCCTCTGCCCTGTTCCCCCAACCTTCCAGTATTCCCCCGCATTAGTTCACGTCCATGAGTTGTACATATAAGTTCTTTGAGTCCTGTTTCCCATACCACTTTTAGCTCTCCCTGTCTAACTTATGCCTACTAACCATGCTTCTTCATCCCTGTACCTTTTCCCCCCATTCCTTTCTTTCCATTCCCCACTGAAATCCCTCCATGTGATGACCATTTCTCTGATTCTATTCCTGTTCTGGTTGTTTGCTTAGTTTTTGTTTCCGTTGTTTCCCTTTCTTTTAGGTTCATTTGTTGATAGTTGTGAGATTGTTGTCATTTTACTGTTCATATTTTTATCTTTTTCTTAGGTAACTCCCTTTAACGTTTCATATGATGGCTTGGTGATGATGAATTCCTTTAATTTGACCTTCTCTAGGAAGCAGTTCATCTGCCCTTCCATTCTAAATGAAACTTTTGCTGGATAGAGTAATCTTGGATGTAGGTCCTTGCCTTTCACGACTTTGAATACTTCTTTCCAGCCCCTTCTTGCCTGCAAGGTTTGAGAAATCAGCTGATAGTCTAATGGACTCCTTTACAGGTAACTCTTTCCTTCGCTCTTGCTGCTTTTAAGATTCTCTCCTTGTCTTTAATCTTGGGTAACTTAATGATGCGCCTTGGTGTGTTCCTCCTTGGGTCCAACTTCTTTGGGACTCCCTGGGCTTCCTGGACTTCCCAGAAATCTATTTCCTTCACCAGATTGGGGAAGTTTTCATTCATTACTTGTTCAAATAAGTTTTCAATTTCTCACTGTTGTTCTTCTCCTGGCAACCCTCTAATTTGGATATCGGAACATTTCAGGTTGTCCCAGAGGTTTGTAAGAGTCTCTTCACTTTTTCGAATTCTTGTTTCTTCATTTTGATCTGGATGGATGTTTACTTTTTCCTTTTGTTCCAAATCATTGCTTTGAGTCCTGGTTTCTTTCCTGTCACTATTGGTTCCCTGAACATTCTGCTTTATTTCACTTTGGGTATCCTTCATTTGTTTTCATTTTTCAACCACGCTCAATCAGGGCTTTAAATTCCCCATCAGATAGGCTGGCAATCTCCTCCTCGCTTACCTCTTTTTCCGAGGCTTTACTCTGTTCCTTCATTTGGGCCATATTTCTTTGTCTTGGTCTCTTGGTGCAACTGACAGGTTGTAAGGGCACTGGCCCTTAGGTATTCACCTGGGCACCGCAACCCTATTTGCTGCACTGCGAGGCTGCCTGTGGGGGAGGGGCCAGAGAGGTAAAGTGCTGCTCACCTGCTCACCTCTAGCATAATTTTAAAAAGACTCTTGGACTGGGAGCTTCTCCTACCATGGCAACCCCTGCCTTCGCCCACAGCCACATCTTAGTAACCTTATGTCAGTCCCTCCTGTGCAGCCCACTGAGCTCAGCAGCCAGCCCTGCCCCCAAGGTCCACTGCATTGAGGTTTTTCTGAGTTGGCCCACACAATCTACTGCCTTACCAGTCTGGTTGTTCTGGTTGTTCTGGTTTTTTCCTTTAATTCCTTTGTTGTTGTAGTTCGATGCAGTCTGACTTTCTGACGCTTTTGGTTGTTTATTGATTTCAGATTAGTCATTATCCTCCTTTTGGTTGTGCAAGGAAGTGAAGGCCAAAGCACCCACACATTGTTTTTTTAATTTAATTGCATTGTTTGATTTTCCTTGTTCTCTCTTTCATATTGAATTTTAATTTTTCTTCTTTCACTTCACTCATAATTCAACAACATACTACTCTTGGTCTTTTCCTTTCTATTCTTTTTATTCACATATTTTCCTGTCATAGTTGATCCAGTATTACAGTAAAAAATTGATGCTTCATATTATTGTAAATACCACAAATCACCCCTCCCTGGTCTTGGGTCATTA